TTTKWAAAWWAAWWAAWWAAAAAAAAWATCRAAACTAAAGCTCAAAATTAAAGTGATTTGATCCACTCTGAGTATTTCTCAAACTAAAATACGAGGTTTAAAATAGTGGTGTATTATATTTTGGATGCAGGGGAGAAGGATCTTTAGRAATGGAAAGAAATTTTTATATGAAAGCATCGTGAGCACTGGCTTGTGAGGCTAAGATAACCACTGTCACTGTTATTATATTATATTCTTGGTTATAATAGATTAATGTTTTTTTATTTAGAATTCATAAAATGAGAATTCTTCTGCTACAATTTTACAAAAAAAAATATTAAAAATCAGTAAAAAAAGAATTGTAGAGTTATTTTAATGTGAAGATTGAGTTAGCAAGATTGAGTTAGTTATTGAATGTGGACAATTCATGTAGATGTATCACTCACTCGCCTTCTCGCTTTCCAGTAAACATGAGTCTGCATTGCTTTTGACGGTTTTATCAAGTAAATTTATTGACTGAATTGGCATAATTGGGCACTACACCTTGGGTTTGTACACACATAAATTTCAATTTTTTGCAACAAGATGTAAGAGAAATTACTTTTTAAGTAACAATAGCGCTTAAGAACTAGATAACTCTATTGTTCTGCAGCATTGCAACTTCCCCACATACGAATGTCTTGGTTTTCACACTGATTATGTATCAACCTGTGTGTAACACATCTTTGAAATAAAATGTGGATGAACTCTATTTTGAAACAAAGTTTCTTTTGTATTATCCAATCATAAGGGCTCAAAACAATAGCCAAAAGATGCTTCTAATTTGCTATGTTCCCCACATAAAATTGCTGTAATATTGAAGCTAAAGAAAGCTTTCATGAAGTCAGAATCAGATATTAGATAAAATATTAGAAAATGCGCTAACTTGTAAAGTTATAGCAGATTTTCATGTTTTAACCAATGGGATGGATGGAATATACAATGCGCAATTAGCACCTTCTTGCATTCCTGTGCCGTTTGCTTCCCTAGTTCTTACTCAGGCCATTACTTAACTTGGATTTGTAGTTATTTTCAATCAGAAAAGCTAAATTACAGATCACTAGCCAGACATGCGTGWAAAAGAAAAATTGTAATCAAAACAAGTTCAGTATGGACACTGACATTTCATGTTTTCAAATTKACGCTTACGCTGATTGTTGCTTTTGTTGTCATTCAATATTTGCTTTTTCAATATAGTAAAGTAAAGCAATTCAAGTGGAGCTCAAAATATAAAAGACGTTTTTGTAAATAGTTTTATTCTTTATACATAACTGAAATGATGCATGATTGAATCAGATTACAAACTATTTCTAGATATGGCTACTTTGAAAATGTTGATTGATCAAAACTCATAACTACTGATTTCATTGGTATRTTGTCAGAATCATTTACCAGGGAAAACACTAGCTTTGTTGGAGATCATTCAGACTGAATTATCACATATTCATCCAGTCTCCTTTCTCTGGTTTCTTCGGGGAGGAACAGGAAGCCCAACACAAAGGAAACACCTGTCCTGATTCATCAGTTGGGCTTCCTGTGCTAAGGATACATGTAAGGTTTGAATCAACTGTCATTATATAAGCTGTCAGCAGTGACAATGTATAAGAACAATAAAACCAGTCCTAAGAGCTTTAAAATAACGTACATGCACAAATATAATTAAAAAAAAACAATACATCAATCATAAGAGTTTAAAAACGGTTAAAATGCTTCAATATTATTTTGATGTATAAATTATTTTACAAGTGCAGAATTCTGAAGAAAACTTCTATAATACARGCTGAGTAAAATGATTAAAACATCCTTCTCAGAAAGATGAGATGTGATCTGAGCGAAAATACCATTCAATTTTCTTCATTTCCAGAAGCCATCTGGACTTGACACCGTAGCAACTTGTAAACTGGAATTGTATGTATAAGACATAAATGTTATCCCACTTTCCAACATAGACTCTATTTTTTTTTTCTTTTTAAAGTTGATGTTTTTWAAAAARGTTTTTCATGTACTAACAAACAGCAACAAAGTGGTCACCCTTCTTCAAAATAATGTCCCCAAATAAATCCTTTTGCGACATAAGAAGTGTGTTATCTTTGCTTAACAAGAGACAGCTATAGAACTTGTAGGCAGCTTGCTTTCTGCTATTCTTTTGTACAAGTTTATTAAAGTTCACGGCATCTTTTTGATTAAATTCTCGTTTGAGAGTGTGTAATAGCTGATTGGTTCTCTTGGTCCATCGTCGATTTTCAAATTGTTCCTCAGTTTCAGAGTTCAAYTTTTGTTCTTCGTCAACTTGAGATGACGGTAGATCCATTTCTTTCTCTTCTTCTACCTTTTCCTCGACTTCAGGCTCAAAATGACTGACCATCTCTTCTGGTGGTAACACAGGTTCTTCAAAGTCAGGTAATGGTTCCTCAAAAGTTACGGAGACGTTCTTGCGSTCTTTTTCAGTTGGTTCAGCAGACTCCTGCGATGTTTCTTCTTCAGCTGTGCTCGTTTCCATCTTTTCATCCTCTTTACTCTCGACTTCCAAATCAGCGATAGTCTTTGTTAAGTTAACAGTAAAGACTTCTGTAATTGGACTGGCTAAAAGATCCACACAGGGCACAGAAAAGAGTTGTTCTACAGCAGATATCATTTTAAGTTTCATTCGTCGTTTGGTTGGAGGAGCAAGGGAGGCRTGCTTGACTATATCTGTTGTATCGGAAAGTTGTGCCTTWATTGAATCAGTCGAGAGAATCTTGTCTTCGTCAACAATTAGTTTTCTCTTTCTACGACTTCGTTTACCCTTTTGTACAACTTCCACAGGCTCAAGTACAAAGCCCTCTGGCTCGGTTTGGAGAACTGTCATTTCGTTGGTAGTATCAGCTCCTAAACACATTGAAAATTAGTAAAACAAGATTATTATAATAAAGTGTTGATTTAATATTTGTGATTTTCAGTGTTTTTATGTTTCTATATTAATGGGTGAGAAGTAGAAATAAATTCTCATACATGTTATCATAGATAGACAAGGCTTCGAAATAAAGGACAATGTCCTTCCAAATCGATAGAAGAATGGCCAAATTGGATTTTGAAACGACAAATTGACAAAAGATTCCCAATTCGCTAAATAAATCTTTTACAAACTTACATAATTACATATCTTACTTTTCTTTTGAAATGAGTAAATCAACATCCATCAAAGATAAGAGTTTCTGGTTGATTTTACACTCGTTTTAGTTTGAATTAATATGGTGATGTCCCCAGTACATTGGGAATATTATTGTATACAATTTTTATCCTTTGAAAATTCGACATGACCMYCCAAAAATGAATTTGGAGGACATTYTGTCCTGCATATTCCCGCCCTTTAATTTTAAGCCTTGATAGATAACAAAAAAACATACAACAAACAAACAATATAAAATTACCTGTTGTTTCATTATGTTCASTTGATTCTTTAGGTGCTGCTTCCTCTTCCATCTGTACATCRACAGGTTCTAAAGGAAGCTCATCAGCGGCAGCTGTTGGTARGTCTTCAATTCCAGGTAAAGCCAATCCATCGCCAAGGCCATCACCAAAACCATCAGCAAGAAAATCAACACCATCACCTCCAAAGCCATCATCTTTGATGGGTTCATCTAGGGCCAAATCTGTAGTAGAAGTAAAACAATTAATTAGGGCAAGGCAATCTGGTTTCCTGGAAATCCCTTAGGGACGAGGGCATCTGTATGGAGGTAAGGGGACATCATAGCCCAGTGCTGGACATACATAGTATCACTGTAAGTATCAAGAATACATTCACCACCCAGAGGATTACTAGTATAATGATAACAATTATTATTGTCTTGGAAGAGCACCCTATAGCTGCAGTAATGCAGTACCAATTGAAACCTGCTTTTTGATTGCTCCTTAAGTACAGCACCACTATTGTTAGGTTAGGTTTTGTTATATTGTTGGAAGACTTATCTATTGTTTGTCCATTGTTTTTTTAACCTATCATGAGACCCGTTCCGAGTGGTGCTACCTGGCTCTATGGCCACTGGAGAAGACATGATGATAAGGAATCCTACAGTCCACTTTCAATATTTTGCTTGACTGACCACACACAAAAGAACAACAGATAAGGCTCTGAAGAAATTATTTTGTATCCTGGGACACTGGTGAAAAACGCATTGCGCATGCCCACAGCTTTCCCGCCAGTGGGCGCTCRMGTCTTGAAATCTGTAAACAGAGCGCCTGGCGATTTACAGYGACAACACAGAAAACACTACGAAAAACCTCATTTTCTCAAAATAGAAATAACAAGATAAAAATAGAAACTACATACTAAAAGGACCTATCATGAACAATGATTGATGGAAATATGAATCTTATATATTCGTGAACGAGCTTATAAATTGTAAAAAACTTTCACAAAAATCGCTTTACAAAGGAAATTAGGCAGATTTCAACGGAAAGCTGTAGACATGCGCAGTGCGTTTTTYACCAGTGTCGTATCCTGGAGCTTCCTCTYCAGTTRTTTTCGGTAGGAMCATTTAACTAGATTATCAAATTTKTGTCATTATTTATTTTCTTACCTATTTTACTTCGTTCAAATGTTGAGTCRGCCATTGGTTTTCCTCCATCYGTTTCGTTTAAYGTTATTTTTGACACATCTTTTGAATGGTAWAGAGATTCTTCCATTGCTGTTCCTCCTCTCATTATTTCTTTTTCGCCGTCGCTGTCAAATGGAATATCCCCAAAGCCTTCATCTCCAAGGAGATTATTAACCACTACATCTTCTTTCATGGTGATTTCCTCTATTCTGCTCTGATTAAGAGTGAACTGCGCTTGTATTTCTACATCACTGTTGGGGYAATAGCATAATAAACATTAAATATTATGAAAGGTAGAAATATGTCTATGAATCGCATAGATTTTTTATTGCACTCCAATGATGACTTCTAATACATTATAAATGTCTATTAATTACATGTATTGCATTTTCTGGACAAAAATAAAGAAACATTGCTGCATYGGAGACCTTAAAAGTTACACTGCTTCCTTGTTTAGGAAAAGGTAATCTATTCCATCAAACCTTTATCTATGTTGCTGTGAAATTACATTAAAGCAAAACATGTACTTCTTTGGATTGTTTGAAACAATAATTCAAATGTAATTCAAAAAAGGTATTTTTTGGTACTATCCTAGACATAATATTAAAGATGGAAGCATATCCATTGTAGTTTCCACTTACTTTAGCTCAGGAAGTGTCATATCCAGATCAGTAAACACCTCTGGAAGGGTAATTGCAGAAAATGCCAGTTCTCTTCCATCTTCAGGCAGATCCACAACACCAGGTCTAAAAGCCATTTTAATCTTAACAAAGGCTTCACTGCAATCAGCAAGGAGATATTTGGCTTTTCTGGAGTATATCCTAACCACACCAAGGAGYAAATGACCTGATGTCCTGAGTGCCATTTTCATTTTTGGCGAGACAATACTTTCAACGGAGGACTTGATGTCTGTTTCAAACACCACGGCTTTACTGAGCTTTTTCTCCCAATGAGCTGCTAACCAGACTCTTGCCATTGGCCCTTTTTTGGCCAATATGAATGTATGGTAAAACATGATACCAGGTTCTTCTAAAATCTACAAAATAATAYCTGAAATGAAAGAAAAACATTAGATTTTTTATATTGGCCTTATATATCAGCAGACCATACAAATGCAGTCATGCTTGCACTTGTTTACATGTGGCCCAGGCTAGACTTAACATGTAGGTAGGTCAAATCTAATTTGGCAGCACTTCAGGGCAGTTCGTTTACTGTTCAAAAATAAGGACCAGTTCCAAAGTGTGTAAACATAGTTCTATATATGATATTTCAAAAAGAATTTTATCTATTTTTATTAAGGTTTAAATTTAAGAAAAAATAGACTTTTCTTGTCAACAAAAGTCAAATACTTCAAATCTAATATTACATTTTGAAACAGAAATACATCATTWAACATACAATATAGGTTCAAATTTAATTTGTAAAGCTTATTTTCTTAAAGAAACACATTTACATTTGAAAGAAACGTACACGTTTAAAATGTCTACTATATTAAAATTGTCTAATATAACGCAAAAAAATCTAACTGATACACGCATATGTTAAAAAAATGAAAATCGATTATTTTTTGTTATATTCAATAAAAGTCATTACACAAACTCCAAGGGTCAGATACGAGGAAATTTCCAAATAAATGTGTAAACATATTGAGCATCTCCAAGCAAATATTGTCGTTCAGACACGAGCAAAAGTTGGCATTTCAAATCAGTTACACTTAGAAAAGTGACTTTTAATTGTACTAAAATCGCTATAATTTCTTTACGTAGTTACCTTAGATATCAATTGAGCTTATAGTGCAATGTATATTACCCATATCAAAGAAAAATGAATACAAATTAATGGATTTCAAAATGTTTTTCGTATTACTATACATGCACACAAACTGAAAGTAGGTTAACTCATTTTAGGCCCTTGTTGTCGAAACTTGTTCGATCTAGTATACTCAATATAACATACATAGTAAATCTAGATATAAAGGTTGCTTTTYAAATCACTATATTCGTATTTTGAGACATTGAACCTTATACATGTGATTGTAAACGGTTGGAAACGACATTTAGGAAATCAACACTTGTAACTGTAGTGCAAATGAAGGGATAGAGAATTTTTTGCACGTTTGCCGAGCTAAATTGCTTTGTATCTACTCTAAAACCTGCATAGATTACTAAATTTAGCATTAAACCTAAGTCTGGYCGCTTAGAGGGTTCGTATACATGCTTTAAGCGAGATATACAGACCGACGCTAACTTTCTGGACGGTATTGTGTTACTCGATTAGTGTTTGTGAAGACCTTCTTGAAGCAACTTTCAAATGTTATCTCACAAAATTATAAAACTTTCAGGATACCAGGATATTCATTAACMTTCTACTTACCTTTCTGTTATAAATAAAACTAAAAATCAAGTGATAAATCTGGTAAAAAGCTTGCTTTCTCTCCCGCGTTATTATTCAAAATGGCAGTCATTTATTCGAACGGTTGAATAGTTCCCGCCGAAAGGGCTTGATCACGTGATGAAGGTACGGCGCGCGCGCGGAAAATTCGCGCGCATTCTACCACATTTTCGCGCCAAAAGTCTATAAATAGATTTGTCTGTTAGATTATATTTATTGAATTATTATTGGGGTGTTGTTGTTTTGCTCGGAAGATATAAAACATTAAGAGACTGAGTAATCATTCTTGGGTTACTAACTTTAATTTCTTTTAATTATTTTTGCTTTATGATAGTCATACTTTTCCTACGTTACGTTCTTTTTAGCTTATAAAGTTATTTTCACAAGTAAAAATCGCAAGTTTTCGAAAGCATTAAAGGTGTTTCATGGATAATTATGTGAAAAAACATAGATGACAGTTCCTATTTTCAGAAGATACGTAAAACTGAACAAAACTATAGACCACTATTTATATTAAATTTCTTTGTTGCAATATGGCTTCAAATTTTTATGCAGTATTTACATCATTATCAAAAATTGACAAAGAAAGAAAAAATGAATTTGAAAAGAGTAACATTTATGTCAAGCCCCTAGAGAGATTTGAACTCTCGACCCCTGGTTTACAAGACCAGTGCTCTAACCACTGAGCTATAGAGGCCATTTGACAGCAGCGTTGTGTTAAAATTCTATAGTCTTCAAGTTAATAAATGTATGTATGAAATTAATTGAAAATATTTAAGTTCATATTAGATAAGTTAAAAGACACTGTAAAAAATATAGTTTTGTTTGAATTTTACATCATCTTTGCTTGTCGAAAGGCGATGACATAAAAATAATTGTTCGATATAGATTCTTCACCAGTCCCCCTCACCCGACCTATTGAACACAAACATAACACTCCCAAGTTTTTCACTTGATCACATTTCAGTTTGCTATATTAACTTAACTTAAAATGCATTAACCATCCAGATAAGCTATATTTTAAGCCCTTTTATTCTGACTGACTAATTGTAGCTGCAGAAATCACTCAGAAGCCGTCTATGGCGATGACAGAAGCCCAGGTTGTCCTGAGATCAAAATCAGACATTGATTTCGAATTTGTGGCAAAAAATGACCACATTATCGCTTCGTATTTGACCACTTCAAGCTCCAAGATACCAGGTACTGTCTCATTTATAATAATTGTTAATATTTATCACATAGACTTGATAACCCAAGATAAGGTTTTAAAATGAATCTAAGTTAATCAGCTTGTAGACCTTTTTTGAATTTTCTACTTTAATAGTCACTGGATTTTGTGTTTAAAAAGTCAGCTTTGCTGTTTAAGAACTTTAGAAAGAGCTTTCCTCTTTTGCTAGTTCTCCATGAGAAATTAAACAGTAATTTTAAGATTGGGAATTACCTTAAAAATAGCTTAACTATAAGATTTCCAATAATTTCATTTGATAAATATTTATTTTTCTWTAATTCTTCATAAACATATTTTTAATGTACTTACTAGAGCTAAGTGTATTTTGATGTTTTTTGGCACATTTTCAAGTGCTTAATGGAATGCCTTCCATAAAGTTTCATTAAATTTATGAATATGTTAAAATTAATTACATACATAATATCATCGAACTTCAAAGGTTATAAAGTATATTACATATTATGGTACGCAGAAATTATGTTGTATATTCCATTTAAAGTAAAAATTTATACATGACCATATTTTATAAAATATATCAGGGGCATATGTAAATGTACCCTGATCTGAAGCCTCCGGCGCTTCCTTTCAAAGTCAACTCAATTTAAAAATAATAGCAAAATCATGAATCTGACTGTTTATGTGTGAAGACTTAAAATCAATTAAGAAAAGCTTTCTGACTTTTCTTTCACATTTTAAATTTGTTTTTGTTTGTTTTTTATTCAAAAGGTGGAAGCTACTTGTACTCCATAAATGGCCACCAACTGCATGGCTCATCTTCTGCGTCGCTACTTAAAGATGTCAATCAAACCATTGAATCTGAGAAAAGTTATCCACTTACGTTGGTGTTTAAAAGTGAACTTGATGTAAAAGTTAGGAAAAAAATGAATGTAAGTACATTTTTTAAGGACTAATTTAATTAAATTCTCCTCTTGCATACACCTTAATCCAAAATGGCTGACTAGCCCTTGATGTCTCGTTTTCATGAAATTGTTCTTTGCTTTTAAAGTCACTCAAGCTCAAAGACAAAAGAATAATTTTATGAAAACGAGACATCAAGGGCTAGTCAGCCATTTTGGAATAAGGTGTATGTCTTTGATAAATTAATGAATCAATCAAATCAATCAATCAATCAACCGACCAATCAATCAGACAATCAATCATTCAATCAATCAGTTGGTCAGTCAGTCACTCTATCCATCATCAGTCTGTCAATCAGTCAATCAATCATCATCAGTCTGTCAATCAGTCAATCAATCGACTAGTCAGCTAGTCAGTCAGTCAATCAATCAAACTGATTTATCACATCAATGTTCCTTCAGTCTTGCACTTTTTTATTTCTTTGCAGTTTCCAGTGTCAAACAAATTTTTGGGAGAGTTCCCTCCWTTATCAGAAAAAGAATGGGATGAGTACAAAAGTCTTGCAAAGTCGTGGGTTCAGCCCTTGATAGATGCTTCCAATTCTGATGAGGTGATTCCCTTAGCTCTCGCTTCCAACCTCTCAAGGGAATTCCCTCTACTGGGCCGGGTTGTTCAAAGCCCAATTACCACTATCCTGGGTTAACTCTTAGAAAACCTATGGTGTTAACCCTGGATTAACACTAATCGGGCTTTGAACAACCCGGCCCTGATCTCTTTGGGGGATTCCCTGGCATTCAGTCCCTGATGACTGACATATTCATTCTTTGTGGTAGGGTTTTGATTATGTATGTACAAGGGAGAATGTAGAAATTTATCAAGGACATGACCCTCATAAAAAGGTAAAAGCAATTGTTTTATTCTTACAGATTTGAACAACTGCCATCTGACATTATATTAGTCAAATCTCCACTAGTGCATTATCTAATAAGCAGACAGCTCTTGTTAATTGTGGAAAATTTCTCATAGGGGGACAGATCAACAGACCCTTTTCTGTTTTCTTACAAAATGACAGTTGATAGACTGATTCCTAAACCATTTTTCAGATTCAAATGGTACGCGGCAAGACCAAAGTCAAATGTTCTAAAGATGAAATGAGGGCTTTTATGATAAGTCCAACAACTGATTCTTTTAGGAGACTTTTTCATATGATTGGTAAGATGTCCTGTGAATTTCATTTTATGGAAGGAGGAAGGAGGAAGGAGGAAGGTTTGGACACACAGGAACCCCACTGTGGTTCCCTTCACTCATGTTATTCTCTGATTCAATTGACAAATTTTGTCTGTCGTTCAACTTCCATATATGGATGTCCATATAAGTGGCTCTGATGTACCTATAGAAAGCTCTCGTGTCCCTATAGAAGGTTTATTGATTATATCATATTCTATGTTATGTACACATGTACTTAGTAGTACTCTTATGTACTTATTCATGCATGCCGTTGCATAAATGTTGCAAAAATTCAGGTTCACTTCAGCGAATTGATGCCTTGGCTTAATAGTTAGGTTAGGGAAAGATGCAGAAATGCATAATGCTGGTTCGTATCTTATTATTATCCTTCAAAAAATTCTATTTCAGTTTAAGTTTAAGTTTTTCTTAAACTTTCTAAGTTCTTCTTCACATAATTGGGACATGAGAGGCTTCTATGTGTACATCAGCGCCTTCTATTCTATGTGTACAACAGCGTTGTGTACATGCACAACCATATATGGAAGTCATACAACAGTTAACCCTTCTCCAAATTTTTGACATTCAGATGCTCACTTCCAAGATGGTATCCTTGTTCACAAGTGCCCTAAAGACTACAAACACCCTGAAGTTCCTTTTTATTCCATTAAATGGGCTGTCATGGGWGTGCGCTCATCTCCCTTCTGGCTTAGAGATGTCTGTTGGCTTGAATATGGAGATATTCTGAAAGATGAAAATGGTGAAGAATTTGGCTTTGGTGTGGTAAGTATATTTACTTTAGGTGTAATATGCTAAATGGGAGCCAAACAAAGATCCCTCTACAAAATAATTTAGCTTACCAGTAAGTCTTGAAGGCTTTTAGGCTATAGACCAACAAAATGGCCAAACATCAGCTATTTTCAATCAAAATGCATGGGCTATAGCCAACCAAAATCRCCAAAAATCATCGATGAAAAGGCATGGGTTAAAACTGACCAAAATGGCCAAAACTCATTGATTTTCTATGAAAATGCATGGGCTATAGCCCACCAAAATGGCCAAAAATCATTGATAGCCTTAAAACTTGAATTCTGACTTCATCCAGGCATCATCAATAGAGAGGCCAACAGAATGCCCTACGATGGAGGAGTATAAGTTGGTTCGTGCAGATGTAATGGTCAGTGGATATCTGTTTCGTCCTGTTCCCAACGCACCTGATTATATGGAGGTAATTAAATACCAAGGCACATAAAATATAGGCTCCTCTGTATGGTATCTTGCATTTCCAGTTTTTATATATGTTGGGTTCCCTGTGGTAAAAAAGAGAAGAAACGGGATTGGGAAAGGAAAAATAAAAACAAGTGTCTCGCCTTTCATTTTTTGTTACCGCTCTCTTACTGATCGAAAACAGGAAGCCTGTATTCATATTAGAAAGTAAAGAGACAGCTGCAGAGGAGGGTATATGACATATATTCAAGACTGAGAAACTTGAGGAGTTCAAACAATAGCAATTTTAGTCATTTTAGTCTGGAAAATATAATTTTCTAGCGGTACAACGACAATTGAATTATTGAAAAAATAGTGTAATAGGTAAAATACTACTTTTTTATTAAAACGAATGCACCTATCCAACACCCTCCTTTCGTATACTCATCAAATGTATTTTGTTATAAATGTATTACTGTTCACGACTGTAGATTACATATGTCGTACAAGCTGATCCTAAAGGCTGGTTACCAGCATGGGCTGTAAACATGTTTGCCTGGCAGCAGGCATTAAATGTAGCAAGAATACGGCACAATGCAGAGGTTAGAGTTTGCAACAGGCAATTTACTAGATTTTATGATCCCATCCTCCTGAATCAACAGGCAATTTAAACTTTTATGACCCCTGATCTTGCCGTCTGGATTAATCGTTTATAAATGTCTGTAGGGAATTCATCAAGCAAAGGAGAAGATGGCGGATCATACTCGAAATGGAGGTAAAAATAAATTGACTGATTTCCTCAGTTATTCTCACTTTTACTAGTACATGTAGCACCTCTTTATTCATTCATCCATCCAATTTTTCTTTCATTTATCTATAATTTTATCCCTTTATTCATGTATCCCTTGAATCATTCATCCATCCACCATCCATTTTTCATTCTTTCATTTTGTTGCTATTTCTTCCCTTTTACATAAATAAGTATCTCTTTTTTTTTAATCATTCATCCATCCATTTCTTGCTATTTCTTCCCATCCATTCATTCTTTCATTCATGTGTTCTCATCCTGTGTATTTATATTCATAGCTGCTGTTCAGGGCGTCCTTGTTCCCCATGGTCAAAGCTATGCAATAGACATTGATTCACCAGAAGGCAGCTCTATCTTATCTTTTGGATTCTGCACTGAAGACCATGACATAGGGTATGTCATAGGTAGTGTCAGGGGATTGTCACCCAAGCCACCTCCATTGTTAAACTAAAGCTTATGTCAAATACACAGAATTTGTTTCACAACCATAATGCAATATATATACTGTAAGGTGTACTGTATGAGATCTTGAAAAATTTTCTAAAAAGTACATATTATTATATACYCTTATACACCCTTTTAATAAGTCCCGAAGGTATTGTGTTCTCAGCACTTGACGTCAAATTTATCCTTTTGATTTTTTTAMAATACAAAAGGAATTCAAAAGAATAAATTTGACGTCAAGTGCGGAGAWCACAATACCTCRGGACTTATTAAAAGGSTGTATAGTACTGATGATTCAACAAAATTCTTTTACTTTTTCATTGGTCGAGAGGAGTACAATATTAGCGTGTTAATTGTACTAATTTCCTTATGAATGTACTATAAACAAAAAATTGCACTGTAAATTGATAGTCACTTGTAATTTTTTGAAAGTTCTGAAATTATCTTTCAAAACATTWATTGTGRCYATTAATTCCAAATTGTACTCAAGGTCRTGCAATTTCCTATACTTATAAYACTGCAGAACTGTTTGTGTTGGGAGTACTAAGGCACTAACTTCCCTCTTGTTATTTTAGATTTTATGTAACTAAATTAAATAGTGACATATCATGGAGTGAAAGCACAAGATATTCAGCTGACAAGTCACCCATATCTGGACAGGTGGGAGATATGAGCTATATTTTGTAAATGTAAAGGAAGCATGTTTGTTCCTTTCCACTATGGTGTAAACCTGGATATTTTTTAAGTATGAATTATAAAATAATGTAGTGTCATTTTATATGGATTCTCCATATACCTTTTCGTACTGGACTTCCTCAAATTATATAGATAATTTGTAAATATCTTGAAGACTTTAAAGAAATCATTGATTGTTAATTGTACTGTTGGCATTGTATTCATGGGATAATAAATTCGGCTTTCAGGTCAAGCTTAGCAAGAAATGTCATCAAATAATCTTTGACAATACCTACAGTTGGTTTACAGCAAAGCAAGTCTATTACTGGTTCAGCGTGTCATCATAATCATTTTATACATGAAGTCATTAGTTTCCCTTTGGCTGAAGTTAGAAATACTTTTTACCCGACAAGCAATAGTCTCCTTGACATTCTCCTGTGTCATCTTAAAAGAGCTCTGTCAAAGCAAAAGATGAGCTTGCTATGACAGAAACACTCACATGTTTTTATCATAATATTGCACATTCAACAGTTATCTTGATTCAATGCAAAGATGCAGCTCTTCCTAGTTTCAATGTGATGCAGGAAACCACGAAGAAGRCTATTCAAATTAAATAATTGTGTAATCAAAATTGCCAAATTGGTCTTATTTAGRGCTATATCAATATTATTAATTATTATTCATTCATTTTTAACTCAATACTCGATGGTCAAAAATAATAAATGAATTCTTAAAAGAATTTGAAGGTGAAGCTAACTCATACATAAGAGATAGTTTGAAGTTCTGCTTTATTGTCAGACGTTCACCTGAGATGGCTTTATAAATGAAAARTGATAATAAAGCCATCACAGGCAAAACTTTTGACGATAAAGAAAAACTTCAAATTAATGCTTTACACTAAGTAAGTCTTCTGTACATTTATAAATTCTAACAAATAGAGCGGATTTTGTGTGAACCACACGTTAMGTTTCGTGTCTRTACTGTATTCTTGAATTKGTRTATCATTKATTTKCCATCATTACTAGGCATAGAGYGSWTTTCGTATGAGTGGGACACCGTTACCGCACGGTTACCGCACAGTTACCGTACCTGGCCTGCAGAATTTTGGTGAAACAATGGGGCACTAGAATTTGGTTACAGTACGATTACGGWCACAGTAMAGTACWGTCTGTTTCCCACTCATACGAWATCCGCTCTATGGTTCCATGGACATGCTTTGTCATGGATTCTGCAGTTGTACAGTTGTATGAAATCCACTCTATAAAATAATTCCATTGTACATCCAATCTTTTTTTACTTACATGTAATATCATGGTAAATATTAGTGATATATTTTATAAAGGGCTTTATCTAAAAAAAAMCTCAAATTGAGAAAAAAACATAGTCCCCTCTCCCAGCCATTATAAGGCTCCTTCTCAGGTCTCTCCCTGTAAGAGAGGCCTGAGAACGAGCCTCTTAATGACTGCGAGAGGAGACTGGAAAAAAAACACTAAATAGCAAGATTATAAATAAAATATATAAAAAAAACAACCACTGTGTCTAATTTTGCTATTTATTATAAACATAATAGTTGCATTACAGATGGTTATGTACAAAATGTCAAATAAAATGACAGCYTAAGCTTGAAGTTCACCAAGGAAAATCTTCTTGTCACTACCACATGACAATACTGAAATTAAAAAGAAGTTCACTGAGTTATATACGTGATATGTTTGGAACATTTTCAAGTCCGACAACAAGTACTATATGAGGTTTTCAGTCCATTAGTTACATTTCAAGGATTATTGACTGAAACTTCCAAGCAATAGTTTACTTTTAGGACTTTATTAAGACCTGTTTACACTTGTGGTTTTTGAAGTGTGATTAATGTAACAATCGCCTGAGTTTCAAACATGCTTAAAATTTATAACTGCAACTTTTGGTTTTCTATCACCACGACAATTGCAGGGCTGTTTACACGTACGATTTGAGGTGTGTGAGAACAAAGTGGTAGTTGTTGCGTGACAATCGGGCTGCAAAAACTCTGAACTGTAAACAGGCCTTCAGGAAGTTTGTTTTAAGGTGTAAAGCACTCACAGATAGGCTCAGTCGGATGAAAGTCGACATCATTCACAGATCCATTGTGTCCAGGTAGCTTGTAGAGTATTCTTCTGACGTTAGTATCCCAAACATAGACACATCTACAAAGTGACATATATTAATAATTAATATTATAATGCAGGTTTCTTCTTTTCTTGCATCTTTCTTTCTTTCATTTTATTTTTCATTCAATTGTTTTTTTTATATCAAGTGATCTTTACAATAATAATAATAATAATAATAATAAATTTAATTCTTATATAGCCCATTTCATATAATCTCAACGGACTTTACAATAATAAAAGAAAACACAAAGAAAGAAGAAATAAAATATTATATATGTGACAAATCAATAACTGACAAGGAATATGGTTAGCATTCAAGGTGTAAAAAAGTGAAGATTATAATGACATGTTGCATATGCTTACGATCCCTTGACTGTACACATGCTACAAGGTCATATGGGAAAAATGTGAGCACTAAATCTCCCATCATGCTTTGCAATATGTGTTGGTACTTATAACCCATATTAGGAATTCTTCTCTAGAAAGAGGTTATTACCTGTCCGCCGAACCAGCTGCTATCATTAATCCATCAGGGGACCATCCACATTTGATTAAATTCTGAATTAAAAATGACAATTATTTAATGATTGGTCATGTCCGCCTTGTCTTTTGCATCCAATTGACTTATAGGTGTTACTCATAAAATGATACATTCAACATAGCATAAAAGTTAATAATATACACAAACTGCACCTTTTCAAAACTGTGTTGAGCACCCAAGAACACTTTTAAGCATCTTTCCATTGGTGCAAAAGCTCGCACATCCCACATYCGAACTGAAATAAAATATCATTCTGAGCATGAACTGTTTTAATGCCACATCTTGAGTGTTTATTTGTGATACAATAGCAACAAAAAAAAAAACAAAGATAAAAAAATAGGAACATACCTGTGTTATCCATTGAGTTTGACAACAGAAATGATCCATCAGGACTCAGTCGCAGACCAGATATAGTGTCCGTGTGTCCAGACATTCTATATAATATATCATTCTTTCGTAAATCCCATACCTGTAATAACAGAGCATAAACTATCATTTTCATGCAAAGGCAGAATTAAGAAATCTTTTCTGTCTACACAAGTTGAAAATCAAAATCAATAGGGACTTACCCTCCCTCAACGTATCCCCTCCCCCCTCCCCACAGAGGTGAAAACAGCAAACTACCACACCAAACATTTAAAGGGACACTGTCAATGGATGACATGCKCGAGTAAACTTGAAAACACTAGGCTAGTGTTTTCAAGTTTATGACTCCAAGTTGGCGCGACATAAATCAGATCRTAAACGTAAACAGATCTAGAATATTCCAAAGTGCCTCAAAAGCACCACAAAATGATTTACCTCAAAGGTAATACTTTCAAAGTCCGTTAGAGGTRAGACTGTTACTGCGCATGTCATCCATTGACAGTGTCCCTTTAACACAATTATTGCTTTATGATTGCAACACTATAAATATATTACTTACTTTAATCTCATCATCAATTCCTCCAGAAAATATTTGGTCACTGGTGTCATTAAAACATACTGACGTCACCTATCAATCAAATAAAACTGATGATGCTGATAGATTTACTAATAATATATTTTTGTATTAGGATGATGTAATATACTATTTTATGATGGTAAACATTGTAAATAACATACAGGAATTTGTGTACCTGATACATATTCTGAAATGTTTGTACACAGCTTCTTTTTCTTGAGTCCCAAAGCTAAAAATTAAAAATAACAAACAAAAATAACCATAAAATACCATTTTAATGAATGCATTTTATCCTGCCAAGGTAAAAGGCTTTTGTCAACTTTCTTTTGCAATGTTAATAGTGTTGATTGTTTTACTAATTCTCAAAAGAAATCAAAATCAAAATAAAATTATATAAATTATYGTGGCCGATGGTAGTAAAGCAATGCAGTCAAGGAAATACTCCATACTTGAATGATCCCCCAAAAAGGCATTTTAGAAAGTTTGTCCTATTATTTCTCAGGGTAAAAGAGGATTGAGGAAGCTCCTACCTTAACTGTGCAGTCATCTGATCCACTAACAATATACTGCAAACCACGACGCGATGGACAACATGAGTTAACAAATGATGAATGTCCCTTCATTTTTTTAATCCTAGCTCCTGTCTCATAATCCCATATTGCTAGTGTCTTGTCAGTCGATGCTGTGAACATAGTACTAGAGGAAAAGAATATCAATTAATCAATAGAGGATATAACATGGGTGCAAGAAAATACAGATTTTATCTTTGAGTGTTAAAAAGATCTGTCACATATGAGCGTATCAAATGAGTGAGACATTTTCTACACAAGAAGATAAAATTCGTATCTCCAAGCGACCATGTAATATTCTGTTTATCATATAATTACATATGAAAGCAAATTATGTCGTAAAATAGCTTTTTTCTTACTTCCACTATATAGACAAACCTCGAATGTGTTTATTTTTAGTGAAAATAACAATTTTATGTGATGGAGAAATACAGGTACAGGGCTCAAAATAACAGCCAGTCAGTGGCCGGACACAATGACCACTGACTCAAATAAATTTTTGACTTTTGGCCGGTCAAATATAATGGTAAAAAATGTAAATAAAAATAGCAATACGTAAATTTTGCCAATAAAAAAAATCATCATAGATTTGACCGGCCAAGATGACCGCCCTAAATAACGTTTGTCCGGACAAATGCTAATTTTAGCCGGTCATTGTCCGTTGACCAGCCGTTATTTTGAGCCCTGAGGTATTTTATAGATAATTATATGATAATTTTCCATATTTCTAGGTGTCAATCAACTCACTTCCCATCCGTTGCAAAATGGATATCCATGATAGCTCCGCTGTGACCTTTGAGAACAGCAAAATTCTCACATTCACCGTAAACATTCCATAAATCTACAGAAAACAAAGAATATTATTATTTTGAGGAAGAATTAATGGAAGTGATAAGTCATGAACATTGAATTTGAAGTCAAGCAAAAAGGAAAACAAAGAATATTATTATTTTGAGGAAGATTTAATGGAAGTGATAAGTCATGAACATTGAATTTGAGATCAAGTAAAAAGTTTAAACAAATCAAAAAATAATAAACAAATTGTGTAAACTTACAAACTAGTCTGTCAAAACCCACGGAAGCTAGTGTTTCGCCTGATGGATGAAACCTTGCAGAGTAAATTTCTCCCTGTAATACATGATACAACATTGATATCATATTTTGCATCTATTATTTCAATATACAATGTAACGTACATCTCCTTGTTCTATTTTTTGTGATGCCATATGCCAATTGTTTTACAAACGAGTTTAAGTGAATTCAAATGTACCTCTTGYCCAGTTAAAAGCATAATAGGTGCCTCAAGCGAAGACGATCTCTGTGGTAACTACAAATCAAGCATAAACATACCATTAACTTGAAAGAARAACCAAAAACCTACAGACAACATTTGACAACAATGCACGTGCTTTTTCTTTCTCAAAATAAACAAAYAAATTCACAAAATCAAGCTGTCAAAATCTACATACCGCTTGAATGGCATTTCCTTTGCCAGCTAAAGCTAACTGATTCTGTTTAGGTTTCTTCAGTTGAGGTACAAGAGCCAAAGAATTCTCAGCRCCTTCTAACTTTCTTTTGGACGCCATTTTGGAAATGTGTACTCACTGCGCATGCTTTCAATGTGCGCCGCTGAAGTACCCAGAGTTCTAAGCGCGCTCATTTAATAAATAAACCGCGAAGTTCAAACTCCGACGAGTTTGCAAGGTACGTRCAAAAGCAGTAGTTTTTCTTGATTTTATTTGATAACGTTGGTTTAAATGAGGTATTTTTGAATTCTACTCAGGCTAAGCATTGGCTTTTAAGAAAAAAATATCAAAGTCAAGGTGCGCTCTGACACGCTTCGCCCTGCTCGAGGTGAGTCACTTGTGTTGATTTCTTGTCGATTTCGTCGTGTAATTTCTTCTAGTTCCTTTATTTATCGCTCTCTACAAACCTTTCAAAAGTTTGTCCTCTTAAAATTACGCATTAAAGAAATACAAATTCTATTTTAATGTATTTTAGAAATAGCAAAATAATCACATTGCATTCCGAACAGCTGTTCGAACATTGGGCAATATATAAATTCTACCACAGTTACACCAACACAGCATCCCGGCACTTCATGTTAGGATAGCTTTTTTTTGCTAACAGTTTGATGAAGCAAAAATAAATGTTTCAAAGAGAAAAATCTAGTGTACTCTGGTTCAGTAGCCTGATTTTCAGACGGGCCTGGGTCCGACGCTAACGCTTTCCTCCCCATGTCTCCCCAAACTAATGGTTACAGAGGTTTTCTCTTCTGTAGACGTTTTTCTTTTTTTTCGTAACTTTTTGCTTAAAAATGAAACAAAAATCAAAATTATGAAAAATACAAAACCGCAGGAACAAGGGTATTAGGGGCGGATCCAGGGGAGGTGCGGACGCACCCCCTCCCCTTTTTGGACGACGTAATTTCTATATATCATTATAAACGTTTTTTCTCCTGTTTATATTCCTGTTCTACTTTAATCGAGAAAACGAGTAGCATGCACAACATGTGTCTGCCACTATCTCGGCTGCTTAACAATCTATTTGAGTAGTGTTGTCAAAGATGCGTTGCAATGAAAGTCAATTTGCTTCCGGCCAAATTGTGCATAGTTTTCTTGCTCTAGACAATACACAGCTAACAAAAATGATAAGTTCCATCTGCTATGCTGTATATTATTATTGTTATTTAACAGTTAGACCTCGAGAGGTCGAGTGGACACGAGCTAATAGCCCATAAGGCCGGGTCCGCATACTAATCGGACAAATAATGAAAACAATTTGAATATCCTTAAAATGATTTATTAATGAGATTGATTTTCCCGACGCGAGTGGTCTATCACAAATTAGACAATTAGTAGAGTAGCCAATCACAGCGCAGTACGAGTGATAGACCATTGAAGGGACACTGTCAATGGATGACATGCGCGAGTAAACTTGAAAACACTAGGCTAGTGTTTTCAAGTTTATGACTCCAAGTTGGCGCGACATAAATCAGATCGTAAACGTAAACAGATCTAGAATATTCCAAAGTGTGTCAAAAGCACCACAAAATGATTTACCTCGAAGGTTATACTTTCAAAGTCCGTTAGAGGTGAGACTGTTACTGCGCATGTCATCCATTGACAGTGTCCCTTTAA